CGAAACCCACACCCAGCCCACGGCAGAACCACCCCCCTCCCTGCCCAACATCCACCCAATGCAAACCCGATCCAAAGCTGGTACCTTTTGCCCCAAACAAATCCTAAATCTCAACACCTCTGCACCCATTTCCCCCTTACCCCCAACTTACCGTAGTGCTCTCAAGGATCCAAACTGGCATGCTGCTATGTGTGATGAATATAATCCTTTGATCAAGAATGACACATGGGAATTAGTACCCCCCTCCCCCACACAAAATATCATCACCAGTAAATGGCTCTTCAGACACAAACTTGGCCCTTCAGGTGAGTTAACCAGGTATAAGGCCCGATGGGTTGTTCGTGGCTTTAATCAGCGTTTTGGTGTCGACTACGGTGAAACGTTCAGCCCCGTTATCAAGCCTGCCACTGTCCGCATCGTCCTCAGTCTTGCTCTGTCTCGCGGTTGCCCCATTCATCAGCTAGATGTCAAAAATGCTTTCCTCCATGGCCAGCTTCAAGAAACCGTGTATGCCAGTCAACCGTCTGGGTTCCAGGATGCCCAACGCCCTCATCATGTCTGTAAGCTTAAAAAGGCATTGTACGGCCTCAAGCAGGCACCTCGCTCATGGTATCACAGGTTTGCAGGTTTCATTTAGACTATCGGGTTCCAAGGGTGCAAGTCTGACACGTCCCTCTTCACTTTTTCCCATGCCACGGGCATGGCCTATCTCTTACTTTATGTAGACGACATCGTTCTCACTGCCTCTTCACCTGCACTCCTTCAGAGCATCATTCGGAAACTCAAGGCTGAGTTTGCCATGACAGACATGGGCGACTTACATTTCTTCCTCGGCATCAATGTCCATCGCACCTCCACTGGGATGTTTCTCCATCAGACTCAGTTTACCCATGACATCCTCGAGCGGGCTGGGATGGTCTCCTGTCGCCCCATCTCTACACCAGTGGACACAAAGGCAAAATTATCCTCCACAACTGGGACGGCCCTTCCTGATCCGACGTTATACAGGTCTATTGTTGGAGCTCTGCAGTATCTCACTTTTACTCGACCTGACATCACTTATGCCGTCCAGCAACTTTGCCTTCACCTCCACGCACCTAGGGACGTGCACCTCACGGCTATGAAGCAGATCCTCCGCTACCTGCAGGGCACGGCCACCCATGGCATTCATTTGACACGGTCCACTACAGACTCTTTGCAAGCCTACTCTGATGCAGACTGGGCTGGATGTCCTGACACCAGACGCTCCACCTCTGGTTACTGCGTCTTCCTAGGCGATAACTTGGTCTCCTGGTCATCCAAGCGTCAGGCCACTACTTCCCGATCCAGTGCCGAGGCCGAGTACCGAGCTGTTGCGAATGCCGTAGCTGAGACATCGTGGATCCGCAACCTCTTCCTTGAGCTACGGCAGCCACTCCGACGTGCCACCCTTGTTTTCTGTGATAATATCAACGCCGTCTACCTATCATCAAATCCGGTACAGCACCAGCGGACCAAGCATGTAGAGGTCGACATACACTTTGTTCGGGATAAAGTAGCACTTGGGCAGGTTCGTGTTCTTCATGTGCACTCTTCTTCCCAGTATGCTGACATCTTCACCAAAGGCCTACCATCTCTGCTCTTCCTCGAGTTCAAATCCAGCCTAGGCGTCCGACCTCCTCCACATCCGACGTAGTCGGGAGCATGCTAAATATATTAATTATATTTATTATTCTTGTAATTATTGTGTTACCATACTTGTATAGGTTTCCTAAATATGGCTCTCCTACTATGATTAGGATTGAAGCCTCTACTATATATTGATGTATTCTCTACACAATTATTCAATGAAAATATTTCTTCTACAAAATATACTCCATCCGTCCACAAATAAATTTTCCGTTGCGCGTTACGATGTTTGACTGACATTATTTTTAAATCATTTTATATAAAAAATGGTGTAAAATTTTAAAATAAAAATTACATATTAAAAAACTATATAAAAAATCTACAAAATCAGAGGTGACATGACTATATTATTTTATCAAATGGGCGATGAAAATAGGCCAACAAGTGAATAAAATTTGACCATGTGAATATTGAACAAGAAGTTTATTTGTGGACAGAGGGAGTATGTCCTTTGCTAATGTAGCACTTAGACTTTTTCATTCCCTAAACAGTACTTGAATAATGTCTAGTGGCGGAAACAATGTCTAGTGAACATTTAATTTGAACAAAGTCGAGTGGCGGTGGACATTTGCTTGAACAATGACAAGTGGACATTGAATAGTGGTACTACACTAGGAAATAAAAACATATGGTACCTTATTGAGAAAGTCACTATGTTTTAGTACTATTTAGCAAAATTCTCCTTATAACAAACCATAACATTCTTGTTTCAAAATGTTTGCCACATTACGTAAAACGAAGTAAAATTTTAAGTTTTTTTCAATACTGTTTATTTAAAGGTTGGTATAAAAATAATTTTTTTTTACATATTTTAAAACTAAATCAAAAGTTCTTCAAAATAAAATGTGACCAGAATATTTTATTTCATTAAAAAAATTGATGAAAACATATAAACAAACAAAAATTTTCGCAATTTTTAAAAGAGTGAAGTGTGTTACTCGGTATTTTTTTTGGGAACGGAGGGAGTTATAATACTCCCTCCGTCCTAAAACCATCTTCTCACTTCCTTTTCTTTCCCGTCCTAAAAATACCTTCCCAAACCCAAAAAAGGGCAGTGTAAAGACAAATATACCCCCTCTCCTTTACGCCACAATGGCCCTTCCCTATTTGCTGCTTCTCTCCATTTCGCTCTTCCCCTCCTCTCAAACCCTAGATCTATCTATCTGTCTCTCTCTGTCTCTCCTTCTCCGCCTTTCTCAACCTCTCTAAATTCATTTAGGTAGTGTTTGGCAACTAGCATTTCATTTCAATTCATGCATTTCAATTCCAAAATTTGAAATCCTGAATTTCAAATGACTAGAGGAGGTGCATGAATTTCAAATTAAGCTTTGTTTTGAATGTAAAGAATTTGATTCAAATCCAAATTCAAAATGCTTAAGTTTCCCAAACATGGAATTTAAGTCAAATCCGGATTTAAAATCCAAATCCATGTTCCCAAACATACCATTAAGAAAATCGCCGGTGTCTCAGGGTAGCGTCTCAGGGTGACCCGACCCGCCAGCCTTGAAATCAAAACTGCAATTGTGCGTCTCAGAGTAGCGGTGGGCCACACAGATGGTGAACCCGCACTTGCAATTGAACGCCACCAGCCCCATCTTCTTCCGGCAACTCTCACACCTGTTCGAGTAGCATGGCGGCAGCGGCAGCACCTCTTCGGCTGAATCTGCCGATCGGACCGACGACACCGACGCCGGACCGGCTGATTTCGACGCCACCTCTCCGGCTGAATCCATGGGTACGAGTCTTTTTAGATCTGTGCATTGTTGGGTGAAGTGGGGGACTTTAGGGGCACTTTGGTAAAGTCAATGCATATTTTACACTCCCTTAAAAATGGCATATAGTTAACGTGGGAAGGTCGATTTAGGACGGAGGGAGTAGTAGTACAATAATTAATCTAGTGTAGGCACAGTAATGGATGTAATAATAAGATCTGCAGTCACAAGTCACAAAAAGTCTGAAAATAGTGGGACGACAAAATGAGAGCATGCAGAAGAACTATATATACTCACAAGTTGAAGGCCCGGCTTGGAAAAGATTGGAGCTGCTGGGGCAGTAACATGGGACGACACATAACATGAGATAATGATGCCTTTGTTTTCAATTAAGAATACTAACCAGAGACAAAAAGACACACAAGGGCAGCAAGTAACATGGGTTTTTGGGTACAAATCAAAGAATTTATTTCAAGTAGAAAAGAGGGGAGGTCAAACTAGGAAACACGGTTTTAATTAAGATGGCCACATTATATTGTTTTGTCTAGTTGATTGGGTACTGTGTTTAGTTAGTGGATGTCCAGTGTTGGGTGTGTAGTCTGTTAACCTTGTCTGCATGATTTGCCCACCACACCAGCAACATGTGAGTTAGTGAGTGAGTGAGGGGTTTAGGGTTGTGCTAATTATGTGTCCAAACAAACAAACCAAAGAAAAAAAAATTAATTTTAATTTATTAAATAACCTCATTTAGATTCTCTTTAATCATTATTTCAAACCCCCCCCCCCCCACAACAAGAAAGGGTTCACCGCCGCCTTTTCATCTTAATTATCATTTGACAAAAAGTCCAAAATGAAAAACTTTGTGTCTTTGTTTAATTGGCTTCTCTCTCTCTCTTTTTCTTTTGATTCATAATAATAAGACAAATCCTAATGATAGTTCTAAAAGACGATTTATAAAAAAAGGATGACTCACATCCCAAGGATCCCATCAGATCCGACTTGACGGTCATTGGTTGTAAAGAGCGAACCTGCACCTAGTACTTGCAGAGGTTCTACGTTTAGCATAGTTGCCTCGCAGCGCAGTTGACATGAGTCGAACTCGGGTCTTACCTCCTTAATTGACACCTTTAGTCTTGCCAACTGCGCAACGCCCACCGGCAAAAGAGACTATTTATAAGAGAGGGCATTTAGGGTGTGTATAGTGAGGGGAACTGACATGAGTTTCCATTCTATGTTATCGAATTTCTAAAAAAGGATGTGTCTCATCTCGAGGCGGCCCCTCAGACCCATCCGAACGGGTATTGAGAGGAGGTAAATTTGACTTTGAGCATAGACTGGTATGAAATAGTGAAGCCTGCATCTGGTACTTGCATTGCAGAGGCAATATGTCTAGCAAAATTGCCAAAAATTAAACTCGAGTTTACCCGTTTGACAGTTCTTACCTTTACGAACTGCGTAATGCCAACCGGCACCGGGTAAAGCTAATACTCCCTCCGTCCGGAAAAGAAGTTTACGTTTTGACTTTTAGTCATTTTTATTGATGGTTGACTATGGAGTGAATTAGTCCAAAATGCCCTTCCCTATTTCTGGCCGGTGGATTCGTGCGGAAATGCGGAAGAACAACCCCAACCACCCATCTTCTTCTGATTCCAATCTTTAGCAGCAATAATTCAAGATCCCCATCCCTTCGCCTCTGCCTCCTCCTCCACCGCAACAGCAGCAGTTTCTAGAGCTCCATCAATGGTGATGGTGAGCCGGCGGCCAACAGAACCAACCCAATCCCCACGACCATGACCAGATTATTCAGCTTCAGCCACACCACCTGATGCTCCAGCAAGAACAGCCCCTCGCCGCATCTGCAGTCGCAGCCCGCACTCTGTCACCGCTAGCCCCCATGACCGCTAGCACCTTAATCACCGTCATCTCCCGATTGCAGATTTGTTTAGATCTAGAAGAAAGAGGGAGAAGGAGGATGAGGAAGAAGAAGAAATTAGATCTACACAAAGAAAAAAAGAGGTGCTGGGAGGAGAAACAAAAGAGAAGAAAGAAAGAGCATAAAGAAAGAATGAAGGTAAGAAGATCAGAGAAGAGTGGCGGAGAAGAGAAGAGAAATAAGGAAAAAGTAAGGAAAAAAAGAAGAGAAAGAAAGAAAGGTAGAGAAGGGTATTTTTGGAAGAGTGTGGATTAAAATTAGAAATGTAAACTTTATTTTTGAACGGAGAAAAATTAGAAACGTAAACTTTATTTTCGGACGGAAGGAGTAATAATGAATGATGTGGTTGCCAAAAATTTACCTGTTTGAAAGGGCAAGCAATTAGCAATCAGAGTGCAGTTAGATTTACGGTAAGAAGAAAAGAGGGGTCTCGTCAATCAATCAATCCGGCCAATATCTTTTCTTCAACCATGACAAGACTATGCACCCGACCACCCTTCATATATCATCGATCATCATCATCACACCTAATTATGGCATGGGTATAATGGTCACCCCACTTTTACCATTCCTCTTTCTCTCCTTAATCTCTTTAAGTTCCCCCATCATATTTAGCGGTAATTTTCAACTCTTTTTTCAAATTTTGAATCTGCTTCATTTAGCTTAAAGTTATTCTTAATGAATTTGTAGGTGAAAATAAGAGAGAAATGAATATTTTAAACATTTATTACTCTGTATTTGTTTGAACATTATGAACCTAGTAAACGCATGGACTTACTGTATCAACTCACTTAGACTCTGTGACCTTCCAAATCGAAGAGTCGCTTTCATGATACTCCCTCAGTTTAAAATTTATCTTTCTGATCACTATTCACACATTAAAAAAAATAATCTCAAATGTGAGGTTCTCATAGTGTTTTGGATCCACAATTTGGGGGAAACCACAAAAGCAGTTAAAGGAGATCAGAAAAGAGTTTTGGGCATTGGATTAATTGCACACAAACTTCAAAACTATCCAAACAAGGGAATGGATTCACAGCAAAAATAATGCCACTTTTAGTCAGCAAGAAACAGTGAGACAAGTTATAAACTGTAGCCATCCATCCATCCATTCATCTTTTGGGGTCAGCAAATCAAAGCAAGAGAGAGAAATAAATGCATGAGTGCTCACTTGGTTCAAGAAAAACAATTGAATCATTTTCTCATGTTTTTTTCCAGTACTAAAAATAGAAAAAAAAAGTTGTTTTCTTTCTTTCTTTCTTTCTGTATTGCCTTTTCATGATTTTCTGGATGTCAACAACTCATTGCAGACTGCATGCAGATTGGTTAGGTTTCAACATGTGTGTAGTTAGATTATCAAGGATTCACTTCCTACATTACAAAATTGCATTTTATATTAATGCTTCTTATGACTCGGTATTCCACAATACTTTAAAACAATACTCCCTCCGTCCCAAATTATTTGCCACATTTGTATTCCTGAGGTAAAATATTAAGTTTTTTCAATTCATTTTATTTACATATTGGTATAGAAATAAAAAATAAAATCTACATATAAAAAACTACATGAAAAGATCTTCGAAATAAGAGGTGTCAAGAATATTTTATTTTATCAAATAACCAATGAAAACGTCGAAATAAACAAAAGTTCCCGCGACTGCTGAAAAAGCAAATGTTGTGAATATTTATGGACGGAGAGAGTAAATTAATATTTTATAATTCCCAAAATAGTCTATTGTACTCCGTAATACTCTGTAAGATACTTTTTCAAATCAGTCATCAATAAGTTTTATGTGCATATATGGTCCTCTATAATTAAGATTTATTCCCTAAGTAGTTCTTCGTATATATAATGTTACTCAAATAGTGATTAATTGGGGAGAGGAGAAGGGGTATTTTGATACTTTTTATTAGCTAAATTTAGAATAAATTCTTAAAATGATTATTTCGAATGAATGATTTCCCAAAATGTTTTTGGGAGAAAGACTAAACTAGGACTAAAACATTGAGAATATACCAAAATAGGACTTCCATGTTTTTATTCCCGAAATAGAACTTACATTACCAAACATGGTCATATACATTACCAAAAAAGTATAGTAATTTGCACATGTACATTGTCATATTACCACAATGCAAAGTCACATTACCACAGTGCAAAGTCCTATTCCGGGAAAAAAAACATGAAAGTCCTATTTTGGTAATTTTCCCTATGTTTTACTCCTATTAGGATGATTTCTAAATATTTTTTCACAGTGTATACGATCATTTCTTTACAATTTTTTCCCGATAATAACAAGTGCCTTGTTTAGGGAAGTAGTCCTAGAAGTGTGAGTCCTTGAGATATCTATTATGAATCCACCAACCCATAGATTATCTATCTTATTAGCAAGATCCCAATTTAGCTTCATAACAAGGACATTATTCCACGCATTAAGGTTTCTGAATCTATCCTTAGGTTTACATCTATCTTCCCGGTTAACTAGTGGAATCGTTTTATAAGGAAAATGCTATGGGTACACCAAAAGTGTACCACAAACATCCCCCACCCCTCCATCACCACACAAAAAAGACAAGAAAAATTCAAAAAAAAAAGTAAAAAATAAAAACAAAATAAAATGAATGGTAAAGAGGGGGTGTACATTTGGGGTACACCTTTGGTGTACCCCTAGCATATCCCGTTTTATAATGTTCACCAGCACCCCAAAGGTAGTTTCTACATAGTGAAATTTGCACTTAATAAGACTAAAACATAATGACTTTCCTAATCTAGGACTTAAACTTTTTTATTCCTTAAATAGGACTTAATAATGTCTTCGTGGAAGGAATAATGCCCAGCAATGATAGACATTACTTGAATAATGACTAAAGAATAATGACCAAAAGTCCTACATTCGGAAATAAAAACATATGGTCCTATTTCGGGAAAGTCATTATGTTTTAGTCCTATTTAGGTAAATTACTCAACTCCAATCAATACAGAATCAATTTTATATTTTCTACACCCCAAATCAATACAGAATTAATTTTCTACATATGGTTAATATAATTTATATTTTTTTCAGCCAAACAACGAATCTAATAGTTACAAAAAAAATTAAAAACTTAAAGAAATTTAAGAAAAAAATTGTAGAATCCAACAAAACTACATTTAACTGTATGTATAGCACTGGTTAAAATAGTAGTAAATGAAAAAAAAGGGAAATTTCAAAAAAAAAAATTGCAACCTTTTTGGCTTGGTACAGGAATTTATGTTTAAGATTAAAAGTACGGAGCAGGTGAAGTAAAACGCAGTAGTTATTTTAATGCATTGGAAAAGGAGCTAAAGAGAGACAATTCTTACTTGAACGAACCAATTCAACAATTATTACTCCTCCTAGTAATGGCATGCATGCCAGATTATATAATCTACCATGCATTACATCACCAACCATTTCCATCACCCTCCATCTCTCATCTATATATGTACCTTCTCAACAATGATATTTTACTGTCTCCGTCTATAAAAGATTAGTACTCCCTCCGTCTAGAAATATTTTTCCCATTTTCTTTTTTGGTCCGTTCGAAAATATTCTTCCCATTTCCTTTTTTAGTATGCTTTTTAAGGCTAAATATTAATAATACTCTTCTATTTTATCACAAATATACTTTTTTAATACTTTTTTAATAATAAAGGAGATTCAAAAGTTTATAGTATGTGCATTTTTGAAAATTTTGCATTTTTTTGTTAGCTATTCAAAAGTGGTCTTAGCTATTTAATTTTAAGTCAACTTTTTTTGTTTCCCCGTTTTGACTATATTATTTACAAAGTCATCGCTCACCATTTATGAATATTTACAAATGATTTATGTATTTACTTTTTTTTCACGGAATACATAAACACATACATTGTGCATACATACTCCGTATATATGTAATGATCAGAATAATGTCATATCCCACGCCTCTCCCTCCCTCTGTCACTCATCACCTTTGTCTTTTCTTCTTGTATTCTATTGAGGAGTATTTTTTTTTTCATTTGAAGGAATGAATGTGGATAATCTCCCATTTGTCTCAAATCAATGTTTCATTTTCTTCCCACAAATAGTCATACGGAGTAATAATCATTTTTTCACACAAATTTCAACTTTTTAGCGCTATATTATGATCTAATCTACTGAAGTAGTACTCCCTTCGTCCCTAAATATTTGCCACATTTACTTTTTCAGCAGTCGCAAGAACTTTTATTTATTTCTATGTTTTCATTGGTTATTTAATAAAGTAAAATATTTTTGACACCTCTTATTTCGAAGGACTTTTTATATAGTTTTTTGATATGTATATTTTATTTTTTATTTCTATACCAATATGTAAATAAAATCAATTGAAAAAACCTAATATTTTACCTCGATAATAGAAGTGTGATAAATATTTAGGGACGGAGTATAAAATTACCTACCAATTGAATAGTGAACAAGCACTAAAAAATTAGTTACCAATGAAAAGAAGCCATTGGTAACTATTTTTTACGAAATTTAATAAAAGTATTTATAGTTTGATGAGAAGAGGGAAAAATTTTGTAGTTCACATATTAACTTCCTCTGCTAGGGGTACAGCAAAATGGGATACCACATATGTACAACAAGCCAACACAGACACACACAAACACAAAATTTCTGTGCAGCACAGACATTTTATTTCTGTTTGTGTCTATGCTGATTTAGTGTACCCCTAGGTTAATTCTTTTTGTTATGGTGTGGGTAGGAAATGAGGGTGAATGGAATGGAGTGAGAATAGAAAGTAGGGGATGGTCAAAGTGTTATGGTGAGATTTGGGTCAAACCCATAATGGCTCTTTAAATTAGTCCATCCGTCTTTTCTAGTTGCAGAGTCAAATGTTTACCGGATGCGATAGCAAATGGAGTGGCAGAACCACTATTACTGCGGCGGAGAAGAGAGTGGTTCAACCGTTGAAGCCACCACCTGCGACGTACATTAATCTCACATCATCATTACGTCTCAACCTTAGTTCCCCCTTTTTTTATTCAACCAGATTTGGTTGATACCCGTCTTACGGTAATGTACGGTATTTAGACAATCGATTGTTAATCTCTAATAATCGACCGTTCCTCTAAAAAAAATACTCGCTCCGTTGTAGTCAAATTTTTGGTTGATAATGGATTGTCTTGTACCTAACAATTGATTGTCAAATCATTTTGCCAAGAGATCATTCCGAGTACATAGTTGTCAATCAATTGGCCTAGTACATAGTTTAGAAATTGTTGTTTCAAAATCAATTTCAAGCCTTGAAACAATAATTGATTGTTATGCCAAAACAATTGATGGACGACAATCTTGCGCAGTATAGCGCCCCCGTAAAGTTCTAGAGACATACACCGATACACTCCTCGCAAGATTGAGATTATATCTCAATTTATCTTTCCGGCGTTCAATCAAAAATATACTCGGAGAGCTTTTAAAACTAGCGGTAATAAACTCCGAGAATACATTCCGTCTATTTGGCCGTTAGGATTAAAAGTAAAGGCCTTTCAATCTTAGCGATTAAATGGACAGAATGCACCATCAGAGTATAATATCACAAACTTTAAGAACTCCAGAGTATATTTCAGATAATGTCAGACTTGAAAGTTCTTACTAGAACAGATGTAATGCATCTCCCTCTCCTCTTCGCTAACCCGAATGAAAAACGCTCGCAAATTGGAAACAGTTTCTCTACTCCTTCAAGCAAAATCGATACAAAAAAAAAAGTGTTTTCGAAAAAAAGTATCATCGTAACACGACACTGTGTTGTGGTCTCGGGTAAAAATCGAACCCCAACAGACAAAAACAGTCACGCAATAGCCTAGCGCACTGTTTTAACAACAAAAAGAAAGTGACCAAAGAGACCCTAGCTCACAAACTAAGGGTGGCAAAATAGGAAGGGGTAGTAGGTGTGGGCATTTGTGGGAGAACACTACTTTAGGGTCCAAAGTTGAAGAGAGAAAAAAAAGAACTTGACAGCACAGAGAAGTGGAGCATATGGCAAATGAATGCATGAGAGTGAAAGGGAAACAGTTATGAGAGTCACTTGTCCAAATCACTCCAATCACAAGGGAAGAAGACTTCACATAAAAGAAAAAGTACTTCAGTAGTTATTCTTCCTTGTCACTCTCATTGCCACCCCTATAACACCTTCTTTTCCATTGAAGTCCTACAAGAAAGAACAGTATTGAGTTGCAGCAATAAGTGAAGGAACAGCCACCATGGCTGACTTGTCCACAAGATGGTTAGATTGGAAAGCTTTCCATCTGTTTCAGTCACTCTCAGTTTGGCATGTCATTGGAGCAGAGATGTTTCTGTGAAGACAGCTGACAAAGAAGAAGAATTCTAGTTACATGTTTATGCAATAAGAAAATTATTAAAAAAGACCATATGATCTTGGCACTAGCATTCCATTTCACAAAGAAATGCTAGTGATTAGTGAGTGACTTAGATTAGGGCTTTTCCCTGTAATCCACAATAAGTAATATGAGGGGGAAAACAGAGACTATTTTGCTGTGATCAAAACAGAGCAAAACCATTTCATTTGCCAGTCCCATACAAAAAAAAAAACACGACAATTGAGGATAAAAAAACATTAGAGATGCTGGTTTTCATTTACATGATCTTACAACAATTTCACCTAAACAAAGACTACAACAAGAATAAACCAAAGCCATTTTCATCATCATCATTTATTCAGAAGGGCCAAAATATCATCAAATCATATTCCCAAGAGACTAAAGGGCAGCATGATCCATCGACTCCACGAACGACTGCGAAGAAAACGGGCTGATTCTCCCCAACCTCCCCGGAAACTCTTTACCCATATTGCCCTTCAAGGACATGCTCTTCCTAATCCGGCTACGGTTAAGTGACAGAATGGTGTTACGGGACCCATCAACACAAACCGGGCACGGAGGGTCGGTCTTACGTGCCTTGGGCGTTGTTTGGTCCAAGCATTCCGCATGGAACACGTGGCAGCAAGAGAGCACGCCGGCGACCGGCATGTCGCGGGTCCGGACGATTCGCCGGGCACTCCAGGGAGACCTCTGCGAGAGATACCTATCGCACAAGCCGCATTTTATGGGACTGTCCGAAGCGGCGAGGGAGCTACCCGCGGGTCGTTCGGGTTCAATGGGCGGGTCGGGATCCTCCTCGGTGAGGTCAACACTGATACTCGCACTGCTGGAGCGGTGTTTCTCTCTCAGAGGAGTGGGTGATCCAAGTTCAGAAGCAGGAACCGGTCCTCTTTTGGGTGTTTTGGGTGGAAGTGAGAGCGGGTGAATGGGTTTGGACATGAAGTAGCGGTAACTTGGAAAGTTACGGTGAGAGGAATGTGATTTGGCTATGGATTCGCTGTCACTACTTTCAGATCGGGAAGAAGTCGAGCCTCTTCCATCCCTAGCATTCGAATTTCCCTGCAAGAAACGTGTTGGCATTTCAGAATTGTACCCAAGAACAATATGGAGTAATTAGTATTCCATAATTCATTAGACCACAACTCTTTTGACACCGGTGTCATAATATATATTGAGACCCAGAAGTGGTTCATACTCCTCACAAACCCCCACCCCCCTTGATCCCTAGCATACTTGCGAACGAGGGGAGTTGAGGGCGGGTTGGGGGTTTGCGGGTGGTTAGGGCGATAGGAATCACTTCAGGGCCCGACGTAGCACCATAGGGCCTCAAATGGCCAGTGTCATAATATGACACCCATGCTTGGTGTCAAAATACCCTTGAGCAAGTCACTAAATAAAAAGTAAGAAGTATTAAACACAGGAATGTACCTCCATCGTCAATGAGAAGGATGAAGGCCTCAAAACTGCATTAGGAGAACGGGAAATATGAAAACATTAGCCACTAAAAGCTACGGAGTACAATTCAGAAACAAATAATTTGCATAATATGAAAATCGAACATAGAAATAAATAATTTGTCATGCATTAAGGCATTATATCAATGCCAATTATGCATTCGGAAAAATCAAATGGTTCATTTTGGGACGGAGGGAGTATAGTAATATGCACCAGAGCTTATATCTTACTGTAAGTAACCCCCTAAGCTTATGAAAACAGCTTATAATCCAGCATGATTCCATGGCGCTTACAAGTAAACGATGATGTAACCCATGGAAGCTTTGAGAAGTTCGTACCTAAAAACGCCTATTCGATTCTTTAAATATTTCCTTAATTATGGTAAAAGCAGTGTGATTCTGCACTTCAAAATGCATAAGGGGGTAGACCATGCATCAAAGCATGTTAGAAGTAAACAAGATTATCAATAAAATTATGTGGAAAGGATTATGGCAATAGAAAGGTAAAATCATCACAAAGCTATACACAGAAACTAGACCAATGGAACTACAGAGTAAATTTTCCTACTTTTTCCGAAAACATTAGCACTAAATATGATAAACTACTTGAAATATAGCTTACTGTATCAATATGAACCGTCACACAAGTTTCATGAAAGCACTCAGATAATAATTCCCTATTCTTGGAATATGGCATACTAAACGAAGCAACGGGAAAAGAGAATCAAGAAAGTACTTAATAATTACCTGTAACGGAAAGGTTCGAGAAAAAAAACAATAACAATGGGCAAAAAGCACAAAGCATAAATCAGTTGTTTACCTTGCCTAGAAGTGTCATAATCACCGAGGCTGATTTCTTGTATGACAGGGGGAGTCCACTGCTGAATGGGAGAGTTATCAGATGGGCTGCTATAGTATGCACCAACAGCATCAGATACAAGATAGTGGTGGTTTGTCAATTGGTTTCCCCTTCCCCAGCTCCTACTTTCTCTGCTGTTTGATGAAGCCGATGATCCGTGTAAGTGGGGCCCGTCATGAGAACCCGACGACAATGCTTCAGATTGGAACCGGAAATCCCACCTTGTAGGCGGTGGGGAGAAGCTCGAATTAGTTCTCCAGTAAGGATCGTGCGGGCCCGTGGACCATTCCCCGCTGGTTGCAGTCGATCCATGTGGCCTTGCAGCCACACAACAAAGAGACCCCGTTTTCGCTATGTTCTAGAGGACACGCAAATGTTGCACTATTGTTACTTCATTTACTTCCACAAGCACTTACACAGCTCAAAAGGGTCACTCGCTCTAAGATTTCAGTAGAACCCCATGCCCATCATTTGAAGAACCAACACTCATATCCTATAAAAGAAATCAGCATGAAAAGACCCCGGCTTTCTCAACAGTGAAGTCCGCCAGCTCAGCTAAGACCCAACTACAGCCACCACAAACACCGGAAATAATGGTCACTCAACATGGTAAGAAGAAATCATAGATGAAGACTCTTAACTAAACAGAACCTAAGAAACTAAGGTACTCCACTGAAAGTTCAAAAAAATCACAATTAAAACGAATGGGGGAAGAAAAAGACAATCTTTTTTTGTCCTGTGTCAGTTCAAGAAACCTCTTCCTTGAACTAAAATCTTCTCATACCACATATTCCATTCAATCAAGGATCAAAACATAAAACACTAATTGATTGTTATGCCCAAACAAAAATATATATACACATACACACAGAGGAAAGTTAAATGCTTTAGATAGAACGGAGGCTCACGGCGGCCGGAGATATGAGCTTTGATTAAGAACCCAAGAGCGAAGACGATGAATCCAGATATGGAGAAGTGTGATTTCAGTGCAGAATCTTTGCAAATTGTGAATAAGAACCCTAATCTTGCGCACTGAGGGCGATTGATTACTTTTTTACTTAAACTTTTTTGCTTGCATGCCCCTCCTTTTTGTCCCATATTCACTCTTTTGCGCCTCTACTTTCTCTTTTTCTTCTGTGCACTTTCATTTCCATTTTTTGTTGCCTGCCCCTTTTTCCAATCCTTTTTTGTGTGTGCTTTTTTATTTTATGGAATATTAAGGAAAATGACTTTTTTTTCTTTGACTATTTTCAAACAAATTCAAATTTTAAAAGAAGGTACGGACACCTTATTAAAATATCTACTTAGAATTTGTTCTAATGATTTTATTTTTTACTAAATTTAAAGACGGATTCAAAACTAAAATATTAAATTTTATGTAGCATGCTCCAAATTGTAATGAAAGGTCATGAGGGGTCACAATTTTTCCATGAAATTCAAAAAAAAGTATCGAAAATAAAAAATACTTAAAAGATGAATCATAAAAAGCTACTTTTTAAGGGACAAAATTAGCTAGTCAAACTTTGTTTCTTTTTGTAAGCGTTTGCACTGGTGAATTTCGGTGTAACACAATTGTCTTCCATTGCACACAAAGTTTTTACAACAGGATTTCATTGGGATTATATTGTTTGGATTGTCAAGTGTCATCAAACTCAATTAGGTGTATAATTACCAATTGAAATGGCAATGACTTCATAAATTAAGGATTTAAGTAATACTAATTCCATTCTACAAAAAAATGTCACAATTGACTTTTTCTCTTTCCAAAATTTTCTACCAATAAAATTGAAATATAGCTGAATATAATATTTTTTATGCTAATTAATCATAGTAAATTTATAAATCTTGATTGAAATAAGTCAAACTATTTCGTATAATATTCTTTTCGAGACCGAGAAAATATGATGAAATTATTTACTTTGTCATCACACGTTAATCAAAAAACATAAAGAGACAAAGGAGCATGGCAGATTAGACTATTAGGATCTTATGATTGTTATCAACACAAAGTTACTCTACCCCTAATCATTAATCACTAAAAAGATTGAATTTTAAGGTCAAAGATTACTCAAAGATTGGGTCCAGTCCCATGTCCCAATGCCAATTTTTATGCATCTTCTGAGTAGTTAATTGAGAAATTTAGATATTTTAGTGCTCATTTGAGTTATTGCTGATGTGATGTAAAAAAGAAATTACAATGGAATTTATTTTAAAAGTAGGAAGTATTTGAAGGGCAAAAATCAGAATTTATATATATATATATATAAAACAAGTGATAACAAGAATTATAACTCTGTATATCATTGGCCAGTGCAAAGGTAAAACTAGTTTCTATGGAGCATATAATTTGGTTATGAATCAAACCCTGTTTCATAAGCTTTCTCAAGTTCCTCACATTATACTGATTTACATAAACAACAATCCCAGTAGAATCCCACAAAAGGTAAGGTCAAACCATGCTGATATACACAAGAGGCACAAAAATTTGTTCCCAATTATTTCCAGTATAAGATAATAGTTTTTCACCAAATGGTTAGCTGTGCAGGTTGTGGATCTCATCAGTGACTTGTGATCTCATCTGGTTTTGTCCCACACTTCTCCTCCTCCATTTGATCCGACTCGCCATTCTTGATATTGTCCTCCGTGGTGCCTTTGAGAGGGGAAGAAAGAGGCAATTAAGGACTATAATCTCGGCTTATAATATCTGAAACTGGCTATTGAAATGCCGTTTTAGTAACGCACCTTCTCCATCGGGATCATCAGCAGGGGCAGATGATGAGAGCCTTGTAGGGATTTGTTGATGCGGCGTTGGCTGCAATTAATCATATTTAAGTTTTAAAAAAAAAGTTAGATTTTTGCTGTTAACTATGATTAGACACGCAAAAGTGAAAGAAGCGTTTGACATTTGTCGTAAAAGGCCTTCATGTATTAGCAGTGTTCAGCTAATCCAAGGCATTCAAAGGTGAGGATGGATTGGGTAATAACAAATGCAAAACATACTTCCAGCTTCGGGCGAAGTGCTTCTAATGGCCCTTTGCTCTTCATGGCGCCTTGCTGGAAGAATAACCGATGACAAAAACATGATCAAATGTGCATAAATTCAAGAACCGGTTAATGTCAACCCATAGAACTAATAAAGATGTACCTTTCCTAATGCCCAATCAGCAGAATCAAAGAATGCACGTTCGTGGTCCTATGACCAGTTTGCAGGGGAGTCGAGGTCAGTGGAAGCGATGATACTCAAGCATACATGAAGAGATTTAAGGCTATATGAAGGAAATGATAATAATCACCTTTGATATCAGCGGAGGTTTTTTCGCTAGCAATCCTCCATACTTTTTCTTTACTACTTCTTCCTGGTTAAAATCATCATCATCATCATCATCAACAGACCCAGTTAAATCCCACACAAAATAGGAAGTAGAGAGGTTGTTTCCAAGATACCCTTCTAGTTAAATTCATTTCAAGCTATGAATGTAATGATAATCGTTGTTGTTTCATCAATATAAATGGTTAATGATGATGATTCAATAAAATTCAACCAACAAGATTGAGTGACATGGGAATGGAATAAGAAAGACGAGGAAAAAATGAAATACAAGGCTTTAACCCTATCAAATGTCTTCAAGGATCATCAAGAAGACTTTACCTCCTTCTGCAAGGGCTTAAGCTTTTCCTTTACTCCGGCAACTTTAAGATCATCCACAGATGAATTGTCTTCAACCTGAGATTGCTGAGAGTTATCGACGGATTCAAGTTCCTTTGTATTCTCAGTGTTGCTCGAGTTCAACATGTTGTGTATCCTATTCAGCAATACAAGATCATAACTTACTATTCACTCGGTCAAACCATATCTTCTTTCGTTACATAGTTTGATGGATCATTCGACAACAAATTAGTAAATTAGATGATCCAAATTAAGCTTATAAATCAAGAAAACAGATTGCAGACACACAAAAAAAACAGAATTAAGAGACTTTTGTCTACATGGTTGAAGGTCCAGACCATTCTTTCAATTAACATATGGGTGCCAACCTGATGAACATTAAAAGCAACATCTTTCGTGCTTAATTTGAGAAAGAATATGTCGATCAATGTTAAACACCACTTTGGAACAATCAAAAGATTGCAAGAAATTGAACTATGAAGTCTTCACCATGATCCACCAAAAGATTAGATGCTAAGAACAACAACACAAACTCTCCCATTAAAAATGATGTTCGATAATCCCCACATTTCAATTCCAGGCCCGATTTTCCGACAAAGATTGAAAACAAAATGCAACCCAGATTTCTTTCATATGTATCGGAAAAGAAAAAAGGAATCTTTAACGTTATTTAAGTGCTTAAAACAGGGAAAAAGACATACCTGATCAGGAGTCAAGAAAGAAGAGCAAAGGGGAAAAGATTCCAAAGCTGAAAGTGATCAAGAGGTAGTGGAAATATGGAGTTCGATGCCGCAGAGGCGCAGATTTGCAGAGGGTTCAAAAAAAATACGGAGTAAAAAAGAAAAAAAAAAGTTTGCGTTCCATTACAAAATCGGAATCTGGGCCATAGGAATTAGGGACTTCTGGCATCTGGGCTATGTTGGGTTTTCCCTTCTTATATTTGTTTGAGTATTTGTTTGTTTTAGTAGATTATTTGGGTCTTGTTTGAAAAATAATATTTTTGATTATCATTAACATTTTTGATAAAATTTTAATATTGTAGATTAATATCAAAATGCTAACGCTAAAAGCTACCGTACGTCAGATAACTTTTTCAAAATGTTAACGTTACATTTATTATATTTTTTCTCATTTGACTTTTCATAATATTTAATGTAAAATTTGACTAATAATATTTCTATTTATATTTCTTCTGTCTCAGTGTATTTGTCTAGTTTGATTTTTCGAGTCAAACAGAATGAACTTTAAAGTTGAATTAAACAAACTTGTAACGTATATTAATTAGTATTAAAATGTTTTTATAAGATTTATTGAGTTGGAGAACTTTCAAAATTTAATCTCATTGTACTAATATGCAATATAAATTGAGAATAATCAAAACTCAAAATTTGTCCAATTTGACTCAAAGTCAAACCGAACAAATACACTGGGACGGATGCAATATATAAATATACTCCATCATAAAAAAATATCATATTTAATCTCAAAATAAATATATAAATACTCCGTATTAAATTTAAATTACAATTCAATATATTTTTAACATTCATTTAAAATATCTATATGGACAGATGAACTATAAACTCTCATCATATGCATACATATTTAGAGCATATGTCTCATATGAAAATGGAAAGACAGCTTGCATGCAATTTTATTCTAAAAGGTCAAATTAAGGCTCCAAATAAAAATGTGGAATGATTGAATTATGTTGCAAACTTGCAATATCTCTCTGTGAGCATACATCAACTTTTATTCCCCCATTAAGTCTACCATTTTACTTACAGTTACTTTGATCTGCATACATATACATATTTATATATATATGATGATGATGATGATGATGATGAGAAAATGAAACAGCTGCTAAAAATGAAAATCTTATTAATTAATTACTTATTAGGCTAATTAAGCAGAGTTATCTTGGTGAAACAGTAAGCTTGAGTCCATGAGCCATGGACAAAATGGTCATCATCCTATACTCCACTGGATGCCCTGCCACCAACTCAAACTTGAAGAATCTGCACAGTATTGCCAATGCCATCTTCATCTGCAGATATGCTGAGTCTTTTCCCAGGCATATTCTTGGTCCTGCCTGCAAAAAATCAAAAAACCCCACTCCTAAAATGTCCCCTAAAAACAAAAAAGAAGCAGAGAAATAACAAACAAACAAAAAGAGATCCCATTAGTACTTGAAATGCAGTGAACTTGAATGGGGATGCATTCTGAAAAACCCCATCTTTGAGCCACCTCTCTGGCTTGAATGAACATGCATCTGGCCCCCAGTTGTACTCCATCCTACCCATTGAGTATGGAACATACGTCACCATCCCTCCCGCCTTCACCCTCGTCCCGTCTGGCAACACGTCGTCCTCCAATATCCCCTTCGGGTCCTACACACACCCACACACACACAAACTGACACCATGTCAAAGAACTGACTCAACCAGAAACTCGAATTCGTGTGTGTCTGTAAGCACATGAAAGATTTCATACTCTCCCACCTGGGGGACGGCGGGGTATAGGCGGAGAGTCTCAGTAACAACTGCATGCAAGTAGTACAGCTTCGCCAGGGAGTCATAACCCAGGAGCCCTGCAAACTGCATGGCCCTCAGGTCGAGTGACTCCCTGTCCTGGGAGCTGTACTCGTGCAACGAGACGTTCTCCTCCTCAGCACGGAGTTTCTCCATCGCTTCCAACTCGGAGAAGAGCTTCTCGGCCACGTCATCGTGGGTCATGATCATGTAGATGGCCCACGAGAGGGTGGTGGCGGTCGTGTCCCGCCCTGCTATCACGAAGTTCAACACTATGTCTCTCAGGGTCTTGTCGTCCATCTTGTTCTCAGGCTCCTTCCCTAGCTCAATGAATCTCGACAGTATGTCATTCTTCATCTGCACGACGACAAAATATCAGATCTGATCTTCACATTTGACTTTCGAGTCGGGTCAACGTTTTTCATTATTAAAAAAAATGTTAGTGGGCAATTCTTACAGATTTATCATTCATCTGAGTATGTTCAATCTCAGCCTTCCTTCTCCTGATGACAGAGTAAGTGAAGTCATCAATGGTTTTTATGCTCTGGTCAAGAATGGCCTCAGACCCAATGTTGAGGAATTTCTTGATTTTCCACAATGGGTCAATGAATCTGAGAGTGACAATAATGTTGGCTGCATCAAATGCCTTTGCAAAACCATTTTCTGGTAAATCTTGAGCTAATGTCCCAATTTCCACACCAAACCCCACCTTACATATTGAGTCCAATGTCATCCTCATAAACAAGTCCTAATTAATACGTACCCAAAAAACAAAAAAAAAGTTGCGTCACGTGTCATCATGACTTATTGCGACTTGGACCGGTCGCGATATTTCGAAAAAAATAAAATAAATACAGGGAGAGAATATAAATTATTTAATAAAATTAATTACTTGCATGTCAACTTGTTGGTTTAGGAAGGAAGCATGGGTGAGAATGGTGAAGAGTTTGAGGGCATAATCTCTGAAGACAACAGTGCTGAAATCCCTCAAGTTCTTGGAAGCAAACTCCAAACTTGCAGTCTTTCTTTGCTTCCTCCATAGCTCACCATCCACATTGAATATCCCATTCCCTAGCAACACTTCCATGTATGAATGGTATACTTCCCCCTGCACCCAAACAGCCAATTTACTATTTTACCCTCATTCATTATTAGCTTCTTCCACTCATTTATTGACTTTTCCATAATAAAAAACAAAATCAAGAAAAAGTAAAGTGTGCATTTAGACAAAAAAAAGAAAAGAAAAGATTGATTGAAATGCATTGAGAAACACATAGTATAGGTTGATAATTAAGTAAAGTGCATTTAGACAAAAAAAATAAAAATAATACTCCCTCCGTCCCAAAAAGATTTACACGTTTCAAAAAAATTGCGTCCCACAATCCCTTACCCATTTCTATTAAAAAACCACTTTTACCCCTTACTTTTTTAAACCCTACCTATCACATCATATCCTATTAATCTACACATCACACCCTACTTTTACTCATCACATCAAAGGTATTTTTGGAAAGTCAACACAAAATTATCCCTCTCTTAATTTCAACTTTAGTCAAAATGGGTAGCACTTTATGGGACGGAGGGAGTAGTTTGAAGTGCATTGAGAAGACATACAAAGGAGTCTTTAGATACTTTGTTGAATTAAAGTATGAAAGCGGCATAAGCAAAATTTTGATTATTAATTACTTCCTCCGTCCTAAAATCATCTTTCGTTTGTCTTTACGAAGTTTGATCGACTTTATTTTCAATTCAATTTATTTGATTGTACGTGTAAAATTAAAAAATAAAATTTATGTATTTAAAAACTACATCAAAAGTTCTACAAAACAAGAAGTGACAAGACTATATTTTTTTATGAAATACGGAATAAGAAAGTAATTTAAGTTTGACCGTTTAAATAGTAACTGAGAAGATAGTTTTAGGACGGATGAAGTATTCTAAAGTACTTCCACAACTAGGTTAAACTAGTAAATTATTCTTATAATGGAAAAACTCCCATGTTTTTAAAGACAGAAGGAGTATAACCTTGTCAGCCTTTATCTAAATCTATGAATAATAGGAGTAAACAAACAACAAGAGAAGTGCAAAATAGCAGAAAAACTTAACCCTTATCCCAAAAAATAAAGTGACAATGCTATTATTCTCAAAATAAGAGTTTAAATTTTTTTCTTGTCGTCTTCGTAAACCCATTGTCTAAAACGTACGATTTAATTGGTTTTTTTCGTCAATTTAAGGCTTTGAAAATGATGTGATCCCATGTTACAAAAAGAGAAAAAAAACTCGTGGGTTATTTTTGTATGTAAATAAATGACTTTACTAGGCGACAATCATAAATGCTTGACGGATCGGATAAAGCTAAGAAAAAGGGCAAACAAAAGTTAAATTAAAGTAACGTTTAATTTGTTTTGTTGTGTAGTGTAGTGTGTGTGTGTGTAGTACCTTGGGATAATTGGAGAAATTGGTCTTGAGAATATGTTCGACGTTATCGGGGTGCGCAATGTAAGTGTAGGTGGTGAACGGCATGGGGACGACGACGGACGTTGACCGGGAAAGATAGTTGACCAGCCAATCGTGCATCCGGTGATAGTTGACCAGCTGTTCCACGCTGGCACCTATCACCGGCCAACACCTCGGCCCTTCTCCTCTCTTTTCCTTCGTCATCTCCGCCACGACGTGCCACCATAACACCATCAAACCCACCGCCGCCACCACCAACATTAATTCCATCTTTTTTTTACCTATAAATAAAAAACAAATAAATATATTCCCTCTCTCTTTCTATCTCTTTATGTATATTTTGGTAATTAAATAGCCTCTAAAGTAGAAGTAGATAATGGTTGTGTGGAGGTTTCTTGCCAAGAACCTAATTAAACTTACTTTAAACTTAATTAATTAATCATGAACTTTGCATGTTAATTATAAATTTAATTTAAAAATTAAGATCAACATGGGGCATGCTCTTTTTGCTGCATTATAAATATTCTCATGCCTTTGTTACAAGCAATGTCCCTAAGTACTCTCACCTACCCAAAATTATTGTCCTAATTAAATAAGTTTGAGATTAAAATTATTTAATCGAGATCGACTAAATTTGAGAATGTTTTTGTAAATTTTATTTATTTTTCGAAATGGGTCGAAAGAAATTCACACTTGTCAAAAAATGACCCGACCTGTTTTTGACCCGACACCCGATCCAAAAAATACTGAGTTTTGAACAAAGGTTTTGCTGACCGAACCCGAAATTACCCGTTAAAAATGGGTCAAACCCGACCGAACCCGAACCCGACCTAACCGACCCGCTAATGTAAGAATTTTTAAAAATTATATGTTTTAATATGTAATATAATGTTATAAAATAAGGTTTTAATTATAGTTCTTTGCTTACTACTCGTTTTTAATGTATAAATTTATATTTTCATACAAAATTTTAATGATATCGCTTAATTATCTTACTTTTTCAAAATTTTCTGCATATTTAGTTTTTTTATTCGTAATCTTGACAATCTGTCATAAAAATTACTTAAAATTTTAAAAAATAAATGAAAGGCATAACTCGTTGGGTCGACCCGAAACCGATGACGTTGGGTCATGAGCATATAATTGTCAACCCAAACCCGAACTTACCCAAATCCGAAGGAACCTGAATCCAAAGTGATCGAATTCAACCCGATCCAACCGACCGTTTTGCCTGCTCTAGAAGGAATATCTTAATTAAGAATGAAGATAAGGGAATGCGACGCATCATATATATGTCTATCTTTTTTTTTGTTATGGGAATGGAAAGTTTGAAACTTATCCATCCGATTCCGGATTAGAAAGAGAGTTCCAGCCGATTGAATAATACGGAGTAATAATAATAATACTCTCTTTCTGGTAAAACTCTTGAAAAAAAAACATGTCTTTAAAATGGTTAATTTTGATGCTATTTTTTAATTATGATACATTTATTCTATTCATCTTATCCAACTTTATTATAATATATAGACAAAATTAAAAAATAAGATTAAAATTATTTATTTTAAAGATGTATATCCTTTTTAAACCAAAGAGTTTTATGGGAACGAGGGAGATAGTGATAATAAGCTCCAAAAGTATAGTGACAAGTCAATAAGAAGACGACAAATTAGTTCAAATAGGACAAATTCTAGGTGTAATTTATTTCATAGTATATCCAAGGACACACTTGATAGTTGATACTACACTAAAATAAAATCAATAACGCTAAAAAAACTTACTAATGTCAAAAAATATGCTCCGTAAATATGTGTCACTCAATATAATGTGTTAATAATTTGTCAAGATGTGGACTTGATTAAAAAAATTGCTCAAAATAGGAGTAAAACTTAACTAAAATGCCAAAATAGGAGTCACCTACATTAATCCTCTAAATAGAAGTGTAATTAGAGTGTTATGTAAGAGTGATGAAAGTGTGATGAAAAATTATGACAGTGTCATCAGTTAATCACTGATGGATCACTGCTCAACATCAGTGACTTGCAGTGGCGGCAGATTCTGGTGTACATGACAGCGATAGTGCGACAGTGAACACATATTTTTTATGTCGATAGTGAATAAGTATGGTATGACAGGTAGATTAATTAACAATTAGTAGTTACGTTGTAAAAGATAGATGTTAATAGAAATAGAAGTGTTTAATATGATGGATGAAAAAGTGAAAGTGGAAATGTTAGGGACAAGGGAGTATCCATTATTTTCTTTGTAGTTGTTTTATATTCTACTCCATATGATGTAATTTTATGTTACTACGGAGATCATGTTCTCTTCACCTAATCTGATTGGCTTTGATCTGATTGGAATAAGTTCTAATTTAATTTGATATGATCTCATTTGATTTGATCTCATGTGAGTGTAGTTATATTTAAAGCTATTATTGATCTGATCTGATCCCACTAAGAATAAGTAATAAGTAAAAAATAAATTGGGGAGAACACGGACGGAGTATATAAAAAGTTAAAAACACTTGACCAGAGTCATCAATATATTGGCTTATAGTCGTTCAGTTTACCAAAGGACATTACCATGTAAACTCTATCTAGGCTCCGTTTGGTATAGGTTAGCGTTAGTGTTTTGAGAAGACTATCTCACAGTAACACTTAGTGTTAGTGTTTCATAATTAATCTGTATTATTAAAATTTTATTTAAAACACTAATGATAATCGAAAAAGTTGTTCCCAAACAAGGTCCTAGTCTCTTCATTTTGTATCTCTAGCTTTTAGCTTTTCCCTTTGATTTTCTGACCTTGCTTGAAAACAACATTTTCGAATAATACTAGTGTTTGGATAATTTTTAATAGTGCATTTTATATCTGACAGCGTTAAGGTTAAGCGCTGTCGTCGGATGACTTTTTCAAGACGTTAAAACTAAACGCTAAAGTTGTTGTCCAATAAGTCATTAATCTTGTTCATAGAGTGCACGAACGATCCTAGCTAACATAAATAATTACTATCTCCGTACGTTTCAATTGTTTGTGAAGTTTGACCTTTTGCAATCAAATTAAATGAATTTTTGATTATTATTTATATACTCCCTCCATCCTAAAATTATCTTTCCAGTTACTATTTACACGGTCAAACCTAAATCACTTTATTTACTGTCCGATAGGCTAATCATAGTTTGTGGGGACACACACCCGTTCATGTGCACTTGTACGATAGGCCCAACACACAGGCCATGGGTTCCATCTTAAAAGAAATTGGCGATAGGAGAAGAGATCATTCGACTTATATATTGTGTATCTTTTTTCGATGAGGGAGAAACCTCGCAACACCCCCTTCCCCCCCCCCCCCCAAGTGCAACTGTACGTTTGGCCTGGCCTCGCAATTTTACAAATTGCGCTTGACGTTTTTTTTCTTCTTGCCTTGTGGCTAGTGCCCAATAGACTAGGAGTTTAAGCGCAGATTGAACATGTTCAATACCATGATAAAAGTCTGATAGTCAAATCATACCATGGGGTGACACACGCTTGTTCAGGTGCACTTGCAAGTTGCGCGACAAGCCTAACACACAAGCTCAATAGATACCATCTTAAAATTAACTGGTGATAGGAGGAGAGATCGTAAGACGTATATGTTACGTATCTTTTTGTTTTCTTTTTCGATGTGTGAGAAACCTTCCAACAATATTTGAACCGTCGCGGCCGACGAAGTTGAGGTTGCCGAAAATTGGCCATTTGGCCGGTTGGGTACGTAGAGTTAAGTTGCCGCGGAAATGAAAAGAAACATGGATAAAAAAAGAGTTCAAAAGTAGTACGTGTAGCCTAGCCATAAAGATAATAAGAGTGATCACTTTATACATGGAGTCACAATTCAATTGAGGATAGCTACACTTCTCATCATTGTTTTAGCATTTTCTCACAACATATAATACATTGCATCCATGTATTTTACAGACGTAGTCTAAAGAAAATTATAGTACCTATATAATTTACAGTACATTATATATATTTTACATTTGTAGAAATCAAAATTAAAGTGAATCCAATATAACAATAATTCACGTTGACAACGTACTCTTCCTCGTTGCGACTAATATTGGAATGTGACATGGTTCACACAAACATGCATAGGCTGATTACTATTATTGGAGATGTTGTTGCTACCTTGACTATAATATTGTTGTAGAGTTTGACTTTGACCAAGGGCAAAAGCGACATTTCCACCATTGCTCATGCATGGAATTTCATGGTCGTCATAGTCTGCATGGTGAGAATAACTATTGTCATTCATGAAGAGTTGGGGAAATGGTGATGATGATGATGAGCCATAGTAATAATCCAACTCCCATAGATGTGTCAATGAACATGGCCTTGGAAGCATCAAACCTTGTGCCCCACTTGCAATAACATTATTGTTCACAACCTCACTATTGGGTACAACTTGGGTTTGGGTCTCCACCACCTCAACTTTCATCTCAATACCCTTATCATTGTTCACCATCCTCTTCTTTTTGTATATTCTACACAACACCCAATCATCCAACTGAAAAAAAAAATTAATTAAAATGAATATAAGTGACACATTCTTTTGACACCCCTAGATGTTTGATTGAAAAAAAACTAAAATGAATAAGACATATTTACCCTCATGGACCGACCATCTTGCTTGGGCGGTTGCGGTTTTGATTCATTAATAAGACGATACTCGTGCATGATCCAATCGGTCTTGGTGCCCTTAGGTGGCCTACCTTGGTAGAACACAAGAGCCTTCTTCACGCCAACATACTTCGAGCCGCTATAGATGGCCTTGTCCGTGCCCGTGGCCTTCCAATAACCCGAAACCGCTGCCCTATTTGGCCGAACACCGTTCGGGTACTTCCTATCTCGAGGGGTAAAAAAGTACCATTCGTTTTCCCCTACTTCTGCTCTCTCTGTTCCAAAAAGTCACACATAAATAACCTAACTTTCATTATAAAAACCAATCAACACAAATATATATTGTGCGTGTTATATACACGACAACGGCGACATGATATTATAAGTGCGTGGTATATAGTGGTGGGTCACTAACCAGGCAATTCCCAGGGATCGAACTTGTAAACATCGACTTCGGGTATGATGGAACCCGGGCAATGCTTCGACGTCGTTTGGTTGCGGAGATAGAACATGATTAGTTCTTCATCCGTTGGATGAAACCTAAAACCAGGAGGGAGTTCATGCCTGTTTTTAGCTACCATTTTTATTCTTCTTCTTAGCTTCTTCTTTGCTTTGGTATGGGGAGAAAATAATTAATGACAAGTAGTGTTAGTTTGGAACGAGAGAAATGGCCAATTTATTAGTTAGAGTTTGATTTGTCTTTTACTTGCAAGATTGGGTCCAACAAACTTTTCCAAACCACTATCTTTTTTGTACCAATATAATGAATAACATGCATAATGGACCAGTCCTATTTGTTCAACACTGCCACATAGCTTTAACAAAACTAATATTTAAATGAATAATAATAATGATAACGAGATAATAATATTCAAATGAGAATTATTTGTGCAGCACAAAAAACATTACCATATTTGTATATAAATCAATCAATCAGTTTGTGGATAAGTGGTGATGATGTCTTAGCTTTGTTTGATATGTCCACGCCGTCCCATTAATTAAAAGCTCATGTTTCAATTTTTCAAAAGCATTTTCTTTGGAAAATAGTCGTGTATTCCATCAACTGATTTTTTTATTAGAGCATAAAGTTTTAAACTTTTTTTATAATTAATGTTGTACTTGCTGAATTCTAAAAGATTTTCTGATAGATGTATTCTACTCAGGACCTGGTCCGAATCCAGATCCACATCAGTTGATTGGTCAAACTCAAGTATATTAGAATGGAGGATTTAAATGAAAATATAGACTACCAGTCGGATTCGAGAAGCCGACCGGTACGATATGTAGACTTACCGGTCATAGTACATGACTTCATGCTAACGGTCTTCTGTCCCTTCAGAATGCATGATCGGTGAACCTACCGGGTAGGTTGCTACGGTCTGAAAGAGTCGGCACGAATAGTTCCAAAAGTGTTTGGACAGTAGTGACCGATTGCAACGAAAGATTGCGGGAATATAATATTCCAACATCCTCAAGTCGGCACTACATGCGAAGGTGTTATCAAAACAAGACGACAAGGGGGAGTAGGACAAATCACTACGGGATAAAACGAAGTCACCTCGCGCCGTCTGGGAACGTGGGCTGATTCTCCCTCCGTCTCACAAAATCTTTCTTTTTTCTTTTTTCATCTGTCCCAAAAAAATTTTCTCGTTTTAATTAGAAAGTCATTTTTACCTCTACTAATTCTTAACCTACCTATCACATCACACTTTTTCACAACTAATCTACCCATCACATATACTTTTACCTATCACATCCAAGTACATGTTTGAAAAGTCAATACCAAAATAAATTCCTCTTAAATCCCTTAAAATTCAAAACAAGAAATGTTCTGTGTGACGGAGAGAGTATATATATAAATAAAAGATTAAACTTACATATTCAAAAATACATCAAAAGTTCTACAAAACAAGAGGTGAGAAGAATATATATTTTATTTAATCAAATAGTCAATAAAATTATACAAATAAACAAAAGTTCCCATGATTTTTGAATAGTAAAGTGTGTAAATCATTTAGAGATACAAGGAATATCTTATCACCCCCAAATAGCTCCCTCAATGTATAAAAAAAGGAACACACCCCACATGAACATGATCGTGACATCAATTACAAGTAACTTATGCTTGGTGGTAAGGTAATTATAACCTGTTTTTTTTTTGTCCAAGCAAAACACCTTAGCTTGTTACACTACCTATGCAAAAGACAGTATACATTTAATTTGTGATAGCTCTCTTCACACGGTTGTAGAAAATTACCAATTATCTTCCAATAATGTTCTTAGAAGAAAGGGCTAGCAATCCATTGAAATGACAAAACTATGAGCTCAATAAAATATTTTGAAGAAAGTATCAAAATATGATTTTTCATGTTTATCTTCAAGATAGAAGTAAACTCTCAATAATATTCATATATTGTCATAATTTAAATTCTTATTTTACGGATAAAAATATGAAATTCATAGCATAAATACTTTAGTCTTATTCGGGATGATTTTTTAACAATAACTGTAAGAATTGTTTAAGAGGAAAATCTCTCGTATCATTTCTGTGTTTCAATATACAACTTAAGGCATACATATATAGTGGAGAATCCTAGTTAACAAAGGAAAAGGAATCACTATACAATGAAACTACCAAAACTAATATATACGAAAATATCTTCCCAAATATACCCAAATCATCTCTTTCCTTTTACACCCCCCCTCAGGTTGGAGCATGTAACGAAGAAATGCCCAACTTGGGTATAAGGAACTCTAGTCGTGACTTCCCAAGCGCCTTCGTGTGAATATCTGCAAGATGGTGCATAGTAGGAACATGAAAAGTCCGAATCTCTCCTCGCAAGAGCTCATCACGAACGAAATGACAGTCTATCTCAATACGCTTCGTTCGTTCATGAAAAACTGGATTAGCAGCGATGTGAAGTGCCGCGGTACTATCACAACGAACCGTCATAGGCGCCGTATGCTCAACTCCCAAACATCGTAATAAATTCTTCAACCACTTCAACTCACAAGTGAGGACAGCAAGAGCCCTGTACTCTGCCTCAGCAGACGAACGAGCCACTGTCGTCTGCTTCTTTGTCTTCCACGAGACTGGCGATTCACCAAGTTGCACAAACCATCCCGTCAGCGACCGCCGTGTCAAAGGACATGCTGCCTAGTCCGAATCACACCACCCTGTAAGCTGAAGGCTACTGTCTGCAGAGAGAAAAATGCCCTGTCCTGGACATCCTTTTAAATAACGAACCACCCCAAGTGCCGCAGTCCACTGATCCTCCCTTGGCTCCTTCAAAAATTGTGCTAAAGTATGCATAGCGTAAGAAAGCTCCGGCCGTGTAACAGAAAGATAGACCAACCTCCCTACCAACCGTCGATATGGTTCTGGATCTGCAAGAACCGGGGCTTGGGAACGAGCCAAGTGATGATTTGGCTCCATCGGGGCTCCCAACGGCTTGGCACCTAACAACCCTGCCTCAGTAATGATATCTAAGGCGTACTTTCGTTGGCATAGGAAGATCCCAGATGTGCTTCGTGCTACCTCAATACCAAGAAAGAACTTTAAAGTCCCCAAGTCTTTCATATGAAAACAATCCGCCAAATAAGCCTTGAACTTGCAAATCATCTCTGTGTTATCTCCTGCAATAATCAAGTCATCTACATAAACCAGAACATGGATTACTCCTTTTTTTCCCACAAAAGAAAATAAGGACTAATCAGAAACAGACTGCACAAATCCATATCTTCGCAAGGCTCCAGATAGTTTTGCAAACCAACACCTCGGAGCCTGTTTCAAACCATACAGAGACTTCTTGAGTTTGCACACCATATTGGATGAACTCAAGAAGCCGGGCGGCAACCTCATGTATACCTCATCTTGAAGATCTCCATGTAGGAATGCATTATGAACATCCATCTGATGCAATTCCCAACCTTTCACTGCTGCGACTGCCAAAAGTGTTCTCACAGTAGTCAACTTGACTGCAGGAGCAAATGTTTCTTTGTAGTCAATGCCCTCAACCTGGTGATTGCCAAGTATGACGAGCCGAGCCTTGTATCTTTCCACACTTCCATCTGATTTGCGCTTGATTTTATACACCTACTTGCATCCAAGGGCCTTCTTATGACGTGGGGGATGAACAAGAGACCACGTGCCATTGGCCTCTAATGCATCAATTTCTTCTCGCATGGCTTTCCTCCACCGCTCATCCTGGAATGCCTGCTTGAAGTTTCTAGGCTCTATGTCTTTGTCAAGTGCCGTGAGAAAGCACTTATGTTTTTCAGAAAACTTCTCATAGGTAACATATGAGGAGAATGGATATCTGCACTTTCCGTCAATAAGCGGACCGGCGACATGTGTAACATAGTCCGCAAGCCTCACATTTGGACGCCTTTCCCTTTGACCACGCCCCAAGTTCTCTGGTGCTTGCTGGAATGTGGACGGTCGACCGCCATCCGTGGAACGGTCACGGGGTCGACCGTCTGTGTCGGGTCCTGAGTGCCTCCATTCTGCCTTGGAGACGGTCCACCGTTCTCCGCGTCGCGGTCGACCGTTTCGTCATCCCCCTGGGGTCCGACTTTCTTCCCTTCGAACGGTCGACCGTGGGTGTAAGAGCGGTCCATCGCATCGACCGTTGTGTGATCTCCCTGGGATCCGTCTTTCTGCCCCGAGGCTGGTCGACCGTGGACATCAAAACGGTCCACCGGATCGACCGCCTGTAGCTCATCCGCATTGCCGCCCTCTTCCGGTCGACCGTTCCTCATGGAACGGTCTAGCTCCTCTTCCGCAGGCACCTCTTCATCATCATCAAAGTGATCAATTGGAGTAGAGCTACTCGATCCATCTCCATTTAATGTTTCACCTGTAGAACACAAATAAGGAAATATGTTTTCACAAAACACGACATCCCGTAAGACGCTTATCTTCCCTGTGTCTGGGAAATATATGCGACATCCCTTCTTTCCTTGTGGGTAGCCCAAAAATATTCCAAGAATACTTCTGGGTGCAAATGTATCTCCATCTCTCTTCAGATTGTGAACGTAATATCTGCAACCAAAGATTCGAATGTGAGTCAACGCAGGGGCCCTTCCATAAAGTTTTTCATATGGCGTAACCCCCCCTAAAAGAGACGAGGGCGTTCGATTGATCAGATATGCCGCCGTTTGTATGCATTCTCCCCAGAACTCGATTGGAAGCCCCGCCTGAAATCTCAAAGCACGACCCACATTTAGAATATGCCGATGTTTACGTTCTACTCTCCCATTCTGCTGCGGTGTAAACACACAGGATGTCTCCCGAATAATTCCTTTCTCCAGAAAATACTCTGTCAAACATTCAAATTCTGTACCATTGTCACTTCTAACACACTGTATTCGTTTTCCAAATTGACATTCAACAATGGCACAAAATTGCTTAAAAACACTTCCTACAGTCTGCTTAGAATCAAGCAAATATACCCACACGCCACGTGAAAAATCATCCACAATAGTCAAAAACATTGTAGAACCATCCAAACTTGGTGTCCGATAAGGACCCCACAAATCACAATGCACCATATCGAATTTATCCATGGATTGATGAAAACTGATAGGAAAACTAGCACGAGTTTGTTTAGCACGCAAACAGACATCACAATGACTATGACTACTTTTATTCGAACCAACTATAGGAACTAAAGACAAAACATGTGAGGAAGGATGTCCTAGACGTTTGTGCCAAAGGTCAAATGGATTCTTCTTAGCAGCACTGAACGCCATGCTTCTCTCTTCCTTCTTTAAATAGTATAATCCTCCTTCATGTCTACCCACACCAATCGTTGTCCTCAAACTTAGGTCCTGTAAGATGCACAAATCATTGGTGAACTTTTCATCACAGTTCATATCTCTTGTCAACTGTGACACGGAAATTAAGTGGCAATTCAAGGTTGGAACAAACAACACATTCTGCAAAGTCATAGTCATAGTCAAATCAATTTTTCCAGACTGTACAGACACAACCCTTTTTCCATCAAGCAATCCAATTTCACACGGAGACACACCCACCACATCATACAATAACGATAAATCACCTGTCATATGATTGGATGCGCCAGTATCAATTATCCAACGAGGTGACACAAGAATACCTGAGAGTTTCGGTGTGTTGTCTGTAGGGGAGAGCGAGAGTGCATGTCGAACAGCGTTCCACTGTTCGGGTGTCAGATCCTCAAAATTCGGGAGCGGGGATGGTCCTTTCTCTTCTCCTTGGACTGCGTGGACTTCACCTCGTCCGCCCGTAACGGTCGACCGTCCAGCCGCCACGGTCGACCGTCCGCCGCCTCGTGCAGCACCACGACCTCTTCCCCGGCCGTTTCCTCTTCCTCTTCCGGCCTGATCGCGGTACACCCATCCTTCTGGGTACCCAATCAGCTTGTAGCACGCCTCAATATCATGTCCTGTTTTCCCACAATGTGAGCACACAACTTCTTTGACCTCCATCTTGTTCTTTACGGCAAACACGGATGCACCTGCTTCACTGCTTTCTCCTCTGTGCATGCCATGCCGTGCCGTTTCATCTTTGACGAGAATGTTATATATCCTTGACACCGGTGGTATGATTTCCTGGGCCAGCAAATTTGACCGCAAACTCCCATACAAAGCATCATTCAGACCCATCAAAAATTGATGAGAGCGTTCCCTCTCACGCATCTGTGTGAGTTTATCCTGCAAGTCACACGTGCAATTCCTACACGTGCATATCGGGAACCGCTCTAAATCTGCTAGATCGTCCCACAGCTTCTTCATCTTCCCATAATATTCCATTATGGAAAGATTCTTCTGTTTGCATTCCGCCAAATCTCGCTTCAACTGCTGGACCCTCGGTCCATTCACCACAGAGAAACGAGCCTTCAACTCATTCCATAGATCTGAAGCCTTTTCCATAAAAGATATGCTGGATCTCAAGGTTGGATCAATCGTGTTCCGAATCCAAGAGACCAACAGTGAATGGTTTGTCCACCAATCGTCAAAATCTTCTAAATCGGGATCTGGCATCTCAATTGTTCCATCAACAAATCCAAATTTCTTGCGTGCTCGAAGAGCTAAGCGCAGAGATTTGGACCACTCATCATAATTATCTCCCTTTAGAACGACATGGGTCAAGATCATACCCGGATTGTCGCTCGGAGACAAATCGTAAGGGGAGATACGACGACGTCGCACCCCAACCTCCTCCTCCTCTCGTTCTTCATTCTTCTTACTGGAAATAATCTTCATAGGTGTTTCTTCAGACATACCAGATGACAGAGTTCAAGAATTGGGTCAAAAACAGCAGCAGTTGAAGATTCTGCCGTCGGGACGGTCGATGTCTTCGACCGTTATGCACAGACGGTCGACCGTTCCGGTCTTCTCGGCAGCAAAAACGGCCAATGATCGATGGACGCGATGCCGGGCGATCGTGCGGAAATTCCTAGAGTTTTGGCTTTGATACCATGTAAGAATTGTTTAAGAGGAAAATCTCTCGTATCATTTCTGTGTTTCAATATACAACTTAAGGCATACATATATAGTGGAGAATCCTAGTTAACAAAGGAAAATGAATCACTATACAAGGAAACTACCAAAACTAATATATACAAAAATATCTTCCCAAATATACCCAAATCATCTCTTTCCTTTTACAATAACAAATTAGTCCACTCATTCTAACAAATTTTAAGAGTAACCGTACCCCATCTCTCCCTCCCCACCTCGATCAAAACCCACTACAAAACCCCACCTCACTTCTAGAGTGTGTTTGGTTGGGATAAGATATTTTTCGAATATAAAAATATAGAATTTCTATTTTGAGGATGAATGATACTTCTTGGTTTCTAAAAACTCTACTTTTTTTTACTTTTTTAGTCAAACATTGACATTCTTTGATCATAAACTAAACATAATTTAAATATATAAATGTTATAAAAATTTGATATATATATGAAAGCTATATTATAAGATGAACCTAGTTATATTGAATTTATACTCTCTCTGTCCACCATAGATCTTCCCAGTCACTATTCACAGGGTCAAACTTCACTCAGTTTGTTTGCTCATTTTTACTAGTCATTTCATAAAATAATATAGTCTTGTCACCTCTAGTTTTATAGAACTTTTCATGTAGTTTATTACTATATAAATTTTATTTTAAAATTTTACTCCTATAATCAATTAAATTGAATTAAAAATAAAGTCGGTCAAGCCTCGTAACGCGTAATGAGAAGATCTTAGGTGGACGGAGGGAGTATTATAATTCAATATTTTTTTTATAATTTGCGGTCAAAGAATATCAATACTTGTCAAGAAAGTCAAAACATGAATAGTTTTTAGGATCCGATGAAGTATGTTTTACTCTTATTCGGAGTGATTTTTTACTTAAATTGTTTCAGTTTAATTTGAAAATGTCAAATTGAATTAATATACTGAGATGAAGAGAATTTGGTGAGTAAAATAAGCATTTTTTACTGCTTAAATAAGCGTCCATTTTTTTAATAAGAAAAATAAAAAAATAGATTTTTTATGTGAGAAGATCCATAAAAATTGTATGCACGGAAAGTACTATAAGGGTGTGTTTGCTGGGAAAATAATATATGAGTTTTGATATCTCCAAAAATCAAAGTTCTTTTTGGGTGTCTGGTGAAACTAAAAGATATATCGAATTTGATATCTCCAGATATCATAAAGCCTTCAAATAGAGGTTCGATATCTTTCGAATTTGAGAGATATCAATATGGGAGTTAGATATCTCTTTCAACCATTGATGCTCCGTCACCGACTACCACTGTCACCAACCACTCCCGTTATCGGTCACCCCCGCTTATCACTAATTAAATCATGATTTTAAATCTTTTTAAACAAGTTCATTTCAGATTTCAAAACTCATATTATTTCTCACAGATTTCATAACTCATAACTTACTATATCTTCAAAATTTACCAAAGGAGCTCTAAAATTATACACGAGGAGTATTTTAACAATACACCTTAATGGGCTCTGAAACGGAGTTTCGGGCGGCCCGGACCAGAATTATGAGTTGAGCGTCCAAAGACATTCATTCTGAGGTTTTACACATTTTGTGGGTATGGGTTTACGAGAGAGCAGAGCAGCGGCGGCCATGGAAGACAACAATCTCTCCGCCGCAAAACCAAACCCCGGCCAGCCAACCACGACGCCTCCCTCAAAATCCGGGCCAAACGGCGTCAACCCGGAACCGGAAACCCTAGGTTCTCAACCCCCGATCGGCGAATCTCCAGATCCCCCAAAGAACGATCAAGAATCCCAAGAAGATGGAATCGCCGCCGCGGGGGCGGCGGAAGGGGAGGAGGAGGACGAGGAGGAAAAAGGAGAATGTGGGTTTTGCTTGTTCATGAAGGGGGGCGGTTGCAGGGAAACGTTCATCGATTGGGAGAAGTGCGTGGACGAGGGGGAGAAGAACAAAGAGGACATTGTGGAAAAATGCTTTAAGGAAACCTCTGCTCTGAAGAAGTGTATGGAAGCTCATGAAGATTACTATGGCCCACTTTTGGTTGCCGAGAAGGAGGCCGAGGCCGAGGCCATCAGAGAATTGGAGGAGGAGAAGAAGGAGAAGGAGAAAGCCGAGGAAGGAAATGCCGAACAGGAGGGTTCTAAGAAAAAAGAGGAGTCTTGAAATTGGTAACCAGAAGTTTTGTTTATCTTCTTTTTGTTTATTGTTACTACTATATCAATGCTGTTATTTCCAGCTACACAATGGTTTTGATTGAGAGGGGATGTTAAGTGCAGATGAGATGTGAGTTTGTTCCTAACATTGATAATTTTCCAAATAATTGTATCCAAAGTAACTGAGTTGATCCATTCATATATGATCACCAACTTGACATGCTTGGCTTGATGGTTTCTGTTAATGGTGTTTTGTGCTCTAACATTTCTTGGAGTCAATCTATACTCTGTTAAGACCAAAAGTTTCTGACTATGTTGCACGGATTCTTGAAACAAGTGCCCTTCTCGGCACCCGTATTCTTTGTAAAATTTGAAAAAGTTTGTGTTTTCATGTTCTTGACAATGTCATCGTCTCGTGCAACTTAGGCTTCTGATGTGGGATGTGTTGCATCAAGGGCATTCCTTTGTTGATTTTCTTATGTGGTTTGGTCATGCTAGATCTAGGTTCAATGGCATCCCACACACCAATCGTTTACCGAGTGAATTGATTGTCAAGTTCCCGTTTGGATGAAGGGCTTTGGAAGAGAATACTTTGAAGGGTGTAATTCAATTACAGTATACTACGTAGGATATATCCGTTGGTGTGCGTGTATGTGTGTGTTGGGCTTAGCGCCAGAATGCTTCATCCAAACAGATCCTTAAGATATATCCGTTGGTGTGCGTGTATGTGTGTGTTGGGCTCAGCGCCAAAACCCTTCATCCAAACCCCTTCATCCAAATAGATCCTTAAGGTTTGGATTACTATTATCGTCACGCATACATGTAGAAAACTTTCTTTGATCGAACTTATTATCGAACGTCATTTGGATTCATTCCAAACCTTGTTGGTAGCGGGTACTAATACCAAGTTTAACTCTCGCCGTAAGTTATTTGGGAAACCGTTCTTATATTTGGGGAAACTTCTTTGTTTATACCTAACCCGTTATTTTTTTTATGGGCCAGTGAGTTACCATATCAAGAGAGCATGAAAAAATGTGTAAAATCCACAAAGAAACTCCCATTCCTCTCTTTTGTGTAAACCTTCATTCTCTTTTTCAATGTTCAAAGTCCACAAGAACTTTTCATACCGAACACCACGTTGAATGTGTAAAAATCGTATATAGTTGTTGTTGTTGTTGCATTAGTGGATACCCTTGGGACAATTCAACAAGGGGCAATATGGAGAATAGAAGCACAAGAAACAACATAATACCATCACAACTGGCTACTGCCTCGGTATAACACGACACATGCCACAAAAATATGGGGGTTCAAAACTTTAGAAAGTGATGCATGTGAAAACATGTAAAAGCCAAAACTGAATATGATAGGCAAAGGCCAACCACATTGCAGTCGAATCATTCTTCGTAGAAAAAATAACTTCTCAGCAAGGACCAAACTGAAAAGAAGAGATAGGATACTGCAAATATATGTTGTATAAGCAACTGCAATGGTAAACTCTGGGTACCAGTTGGGGTGTTGATGATGACAAAATATGTACATAGAAAGTTGGAGTTAATGAGAAAGTTTGAAATACAGGATGATGATGATAGATATGACAAGGGCAGCAACCACGGCTCCAATGATCATCTTGTTACGGCTTATGCGTCTCGACATGGAAGTCAAGATCTTCTTGCTCTTGTCAATGGCTTCATCCACACCGTGAAGCTGCAAAACCAACACAATCATTTTGTTACCATAACCTAAGTAATTGCCATATCTTTCCAACTAAAAAGAACATTAAGTTGTGTTCGGATCCTGAAAAGATGTTAGGGAAAGGAAAATAGAAAATGCTTAAGTTAATTTCTTGTTTTCAGTTTACCTAAAAAAATGTAAACGAAAATGCTTCCTCTGTCCAAAATTGAACTTAAATGTTTTGGTTTCACAAAAAGCGAGAAGTGTATAGTTGAAATTTGTTTAGAAGAGGGGAATGTTGTGAGCCACATTTATTTCCAAAAAGGGAAATGAGAGAGGCTTAAAATTTATTTTGGCACGACAAAAAAGGAAATTATCAAAGTTCATTTCAGGATGTGGGGTACAAATTTATCTTCATTTATAAGCACCTCAATCCCAACTTTTTGGGGTCGGTGGCATTAAATTTATGGAGGCAATTAATTATACAAAATTAATTAATTAACGCAGTGGTAATGTTTTATTTTAGATGTTCTTCCATCACAACGAGATGAAAAGTCTAATGCCGTCAAAAAAAAAGATGAAAAGTCTAATAATGTCCATGGAAAATATCATGAAGCGGAGAACTGAGAAGAGTTTCAATTATTAGTTAATGTCATATTCCATTACAAGATGATGTTGTAAATCAACCTACAAATCATGAAACATGATCTGAATAATTAACATGTTTGTTGTTTGATAAAACTTCACCTATGCCTTTGTCCCATAAAAAACTTTTGCATTTCTTTATTGGTAATCTGGTACTCTCGTTTTAAAGAAATACTACTCCATAGTTGTCAGGTTCATACTATTTCTATTCTGAGCCAATGTTTTGTTTCCCTACATTTTCCTTCCGAATTTCTACTAAATTTTATCCTCTATTTCCCCCCCTGCATTTTTTTTAGTTCCTAAACAAAGTGTGGGTTGAAATTGTAAGTGTGAACATGCCTTGTTATGGGAGTGTAACAGTGTTTCACGCTGCTGGTGAAGATCTTCAAGAATTGAGACACCAAGCTCCTCTGTCTCTAAAGCAAGCCTCCGGCTCTCCATGATTCTGTCACTAGACCTATTTAGCCTCTCAGTGGACATCGTCAATCGCTCTCTTTGATTTGCAGAAGCCTGAAAACATCAATAATCATCTTCAACAGCACTTAAAAGAAAAACCCATACCAGGCATAAAATAAAATGCTTTAGAATCACTATAACTCAATAAGTATAAACATAATACAGGGTAATTTCATTTCTTTTTCGGCTTCTGTTTCAATGAAAGCTGCTAAACATTAGACAATGATTATTTTTTTAAAATCTAGGAAGGATTTAAGAAAGAAAACTAAAATGAAGAGAACTTGTACATACTGCATGTCCATCTGCCACATCGGACTCCAGCAAAGCTTCATGGGCAGCCTGATCGAAACTACTAGACGCTAGCTTTTTCACTTCCCTTTTCAGCTTATTAAGGTCAGATTTATATTCCCTTAGCTTAGCAAGAAGAGCAGCTTTCAGACTTGGTTGCAAACTTCTTGCTTCAAGGTCCATTTTCCGAATCTGAGGAAACCCAGCCAGCATTAAACTTCACAATAATGAATGAGAAATTGTGCACATCAGCAACTAAGAGAAGAGAGTGAAAGTTACCAGCACATCTGCTTCATCCAACCCTACTGTGAGCTCAGAAATCATAAGCTTCCTTGGATCTTCTTATGGAAATGGGAAGAAAAAAAAAGATTTATAAACCGAAAAATGATAATCAAAGGGAAAAAAACTCATATATTTGTAAACAAGAATACAAGATACAAAATGTGGATTCTATAACTCTACAAGTCCCTACCATTATAAAACTGAGATTATTACTGGAAAAACAAATAATGCAAGACACAACATCGAATCACATAGAATCTGATTTTACAAAAAAAAAAGCACAAAATGAAAGGAAAGAAAGAAATATTCAGAAGGTAAACACAGATCAAGTTGAATTCATACCTCCAAGAGGAAGAAGAGCAGCAGAGTTGCATTTCTTAGACAAATTGACGGACAGCTCGCAGTACTGTCTCTCGTAACCTTCAAACACCTCACTCATCTCTCTCGCGCTCCAATTCCACCTGGAAAACAAATTAACCGAAAGATTTCGTTCAAATGCATGAAATCAAACCAGTGAATACTCAGTGCAACCCTAGATCACTGAGAAAACGCAAGCGAAAGTACAATTCGATCCGATTGACAGAAAGGCGTGTGATTAACATATTGATCGTGTAAGCTTACCAGAAGCGCTCTGTGAATGATATGAGCGTTCGATGATCCAGCACGGCGAAGTATGCGGTGGTTGTGTGATGAAATGCACGCGAAGAACGAGTTGACTCTGTGTTGACTCAGTTGCTGCGGACAAAAAAACTTGGAGTGGGATCAAAATTAAAAACCTTTTTGTATTTCGGTTCGAACCAAAATTGGAATTTTTTTTGTTAAACCAAAATTGGAATTAATTAGATACTCATTTTTAAATAATTAAATATTCGTCTTTATAAAACTTAGTTGTGCTCAAAAATGAGTAATTAGTTGCTCGAAGATGAGTATTCTATTACTCGAAATTGAGAGTCTTTTACTCAAAAACAAATAATCAAGTGGATGCACGAGAAACGTCGTACATCCGCATGTATGATGGTATATGTACTCGGGATGGGGTGGGATTAGATAATAGGATCACATTAATCATCTATTTTACAAACAAAAGATCATAGGTGCTACTACGTAGAGTTGTCATTTTATTACATTATGGATTGTTTTCAAAAGAGGGAGGCCATATCAAATGACACCATTGTCACTATATTTACATAAAAATATACTCTCACGTCCCAAATTATAATGCATGTTTACTATTCACAAGGTCAAACTTCATTCACTTTCTTTCTCTATTTTCGTTAGCAATTTAATAAAATAAAATATTGTTGTCACTACTAGTTTTGTAGATCTTTTGATGTAGTATTTTGATATGTAATTTTTATTTTTTAACTCTATACCATTTGTCATATAAAATGGTTTGAAAATAATTTCAGTCAAACATCATAAACCAAAACAGGCGTTATAAAATGGGACGGGGAGTAGTACATTACAATTTTTTTTATTAAAATTTTATTTAACCACCATTCCCCATTACTGTGAACTCCAACCAATCCGCGAATCATCACTTTTTTGATTTAATTAATTGATACGGAGTATGAAAATTTTAAAAACAAAAAAAAAACAAAAATCACCAACCCTTTTAGATGGATTTCTCGTTTTTTGTTCATTTCATGATTTTTTTTGAACGAAGACTGTTTGAGAAAATTGATGTGGTGAAGGACCAGAAATCATAAAATGGGTACCTTGTACAAGAAAGGTTGAGAGTACAAGGAATTTCCAGACAGGAAATGTTTGAAATAAGTTGAAGTGTACAACCATGCTAGAAGCTCACTACGGTTGCTCCCATGAATGACAATCATATATGATACATGCTAGAAACTCACTACGGTTGCCCCCATGAATGACAATCACATATGGTTTATGCATACATAGAAAAAAATCATTTGTGAACAATGATTATTGTGTCTAATTGTCATCCATGGAGAACCCGTGGTGGGATTTTAGCGTTATTCACAAATAAATCACCACAGGAGCCTAGGCTTAGAACCCCAATAATAACAACACACAGGTAGGTAAGAACTAAGAAGTTAGGAATTATAAAAGCAAAGGTTCTATTACTACTACTACTACTACTTGTATATGTACAAAATGAGCAATGCCCCTGGAGTAAATCATCATCATCATGATCATGCAAAGCAATGTAATTTCACACCACAAATCAACATATAAAAAGCACATTAACCAAAGCAGAGCAACCAGTTATCAATATCATCATCAACAACAACTATTTGTATCAGTTTACAGTCGAAGAATCGGTTTCCAAACCTTGAATACTAACCTCTGGTTGCTCGTCGGGGTCGTGATCGGGAAAAACCTCAGACTTGAGAGAAGGCATAATGTTATTAACATGTAACCATGTCAAATCCCACAGGCTATCTCCCCCGAGACCACTCCGTTGAACGAGCACCCCGCTCGTCCTCATCACAACCAAACAGTTCTTCAGCAGTTCCGGAACCATCTCCTGAAGCTTCTCGCTCCTCTTGTTCCTCACCTTCACCTTCATGTACTTCTCCATCCGGTTAAGAACGCCTCGCCACAGTTTAGAGAAGGTGGTCAGTTGGGAGAGCTTTGGGAGTAACCTTAGGAACACCTTGGTCATTACCTTGAGCGCAATTACGAGTGTACCCTCCATGTTTCTGTAGTCTTTCTGGGAATGGCCCTGTGATATGTCGACTAGGTCGTCACAGACCGTGAAGATGACCATGTCGAAACACTGCAACCACAAACCGTGGGGGAGGTAGATATCGTCGACCCCGGTCAAGCAGGCCTGGAGGGAGAGAAGGGCGTGGTTTCGAACTTCTTCACGTTGGTCCAAGCACACCTTTCTCAGACCCTGTATGAGCCTCAGCCACATCTCCCCAATATCTTGGGAGAGTTTCAGAGCTTCCGTCTCCGCCATGGCTTCTCTGGCATCTCTGGACCATGAAGCCAAACACGAGATGGACCCCACCATGAGATCAATGGCAGTAACCGACCTGTCCGCCTGCCCGACACGGGACTCTGCAAACTGTCTCGCTGCATCGATGCAGAGAACATAGTTGGCTGGGGACAGGTGGGCCCCGTCGGACATGATGAACATTAATGCATCAAATCCCACTTCCGAAGCTTCCAAGTGTCTGGCCGTGATTGAGAGCAGAGATGCTATTGTCCGCCAGCCTGTCTGAGAACGTATGTGGCCGGGGTTCGCTTTAACAAGACGACTGACTTCTTGAGTGATTTGCTCACAATATGCATCAGCAACACGTGCGTCTAGCTTGAGAACCAGCTGGAGTGATCTCAAAAGTTCATCGCCCAAGTCATCTTTATATGGGAGCAACCTCTGGCAGATACGGAGGAGACCAAAAACAGCCTTTTCAACCAGAGCACAAGGCATGACGGTGGAATGAACAATATTAGCAATATGATCATAAACTCCCTGCCAAAGAAGACCGATCCTGTCCCTGTTGTTCAATGTGATTGCAATCAGCAATTCCAAACAGAACACCGCGGTGTCTTCATCCTCGGGGGAACTACTTCCCTTTTGAGGTCTACCTGCTGCCCATATGAGTGCCCTTGCAAGCTGTAATAGGGATTCAGATAACAGAAACTTGCTTTCTGTGAAAATGCTGTCTATGTGGCACTTTTGAATCGTCTGAAGTGTTCGTTGATGAGCTGCGAGCTGTTGCTCAGTAGGTTGAGACCTCGGCTCTTCCGAATCTAATGAAAGAAGTTGACTAAATCGCCCCATGAGTCCGGAAGATCTCTTTGGTGTGCCGATGGATTGCATGTGTGCAGTAGATAGTGAACTAGTGAGTGGAGGCTTCCCACCGTATCCAGGTTCAGATGATGATATCATCTCAGAGTCATCATCACTAGCCACACGGGCAGGTAGAAGGCCGAGTTTGTGTAATCTCAGTATGCAATCCAAAATGTTTCTCCAGCCAGCATGTATAAAGTCACCGTATTTATTTGCAATGGTAAAAACTGTAACTGTTGCCATCCTTGCTTTCGCATCATCCCCAAAAGCCAAAACAGGTTCTTCAACTGATGAAGGATTCAAGAGGGTTGTGAATTTACAGAGAGATACCACCAAATCATCCAAAACGTCTTCAAGATGGTGACAAGAAGATATCTTTGCAACAGCTAAGAACCCATCGATGCACGTTTGATAAACATCTTCGTGTTCTGCGTGATCGAACACCACAGAGATGGCAGCTATTGTTGGACCGGACATTATGGCAAACATGTCGTGGTCCAGGTACGCTCTTGAATCAGACTGTATGTAAGGAGAGGTTTTCCTAGATTTACTCATCAGATCAATCCAACGGCTGGGAGTCATTTCGGTAAAGCCAACACCTTGTTCTAGTGTGGTACGGATCTCGTTGCTGCAGATAGAATGGTATAGTTCTCTCAGATAATCACGTGGGAGGTCATTACCTCCATTTATATGTCGGTTATTTCTAATGAAATCCTCTTCGGTCATCTTCTTCTTCACTTGTACGTTATACTGGTCAGTGTTTAGCATTATCAAGGAATAAGACAATACTAAAGCAGCATCTTTATTGGCTAAAATATGCGGAGATTGCTCATAGTATCTCTCAGAAAAAGCCTCGAGCACTCTCTGTATCTTCTGGGATTCTCCAGGCAATCTGAACGTCTCCAAAAACAAACGCAATGCAGTGTCTAAGTTCATGTCTTGAAAATCAAATGTTCCGGCAAACTCATGAAGAACCTGAACACAAAACTCATCATGGTTTCCAAGAAAATCCCCGACAAGATTCTTGTCTAGTCCAGCAGTGTACCTAAAAAAGCAAGCCACACTTTGTGGATCAAGTTTTTCTGGCAGCAGGTGTGTTCCTTGGAGAAACTCCAGCCCTTTCTTCGGGTCCCGATTAAAGTGATCAGCCCCAATCGTTAATCTTCTCTTGATGTACTTTCTCCTACGAACAAACGGGACCCAATGATCAGGATCATTATAATCCTCACATTTTACCATCCAGAATGGAGTGTACTCATCAAAATTCAAATGATGTGGGTCTGAATTGTATGATCCATTGCTTACCCTCTCAGCCATTCCCTGGATCACAGCAATCAATCCGTCTAAAGCAAGAATATGCATGGCTGAGAGAGGAGAATTTACAGGGAATGCATTTTTTGACAGAAGATTAGCAAGTTCCTCAAAAACATTCCCACAAGTTATATCACAATCCAAATTTGCATACATATCTACCATAAATGCTTTCTGTCTACAAAAGTCAACAAGAGCCTCCATAGCAACCTCCTGCTGCTGGTATGAAGCTCCGTATCGACTCTGTGAAAGCCTCAATATCACACAGGAAAAAAAAGCTTCAAGCTGTAGTTTCAGTTCTGTGCGTAAATGCTGATAAAGGTTTAGAACGATACTACAGACCATTGAAAGAATCAATGAACTCGTCGAGAGGCCAAATTGTATGAGGTTCCGGAAGAGTTCATCTTGTATCAAGCTCAACAGTCTAGGATGGTTCCTAATAGCTCGGCCACCTAGTTCAACTGCCGAGTTGATCAAGCCTAAAGCAAACAAAGGAACATCTTCGTCCGATGGTACAGTGTTTGATTTTGGGCTGATTCCCTTGTGCTCAACAACATTCAACAATGAGCACAAGAAGTGAAATATCTCAACCATACAGGGGACCCCGTAAGGCTCGGTTATTTGATGTAAATCATAAGGAACTGTATCCTTCCCATATTCACTCATCACCATGTTTTCATCCACTCCTGAAGGCAGTTGGCTATCATATTCAGAAGAAGCTGTCCCATTCTCTAACTTACTACTATAACCATAGCCACCAT